CTGATTTTGTTCTGTTGATGACAAAAAAAAAAAAAAACCTAATTTCAGTTATGTCAATTTGGTTTATTAATAAGATAGGGATTTAAAATTTATTATTAACAAGAATATGTGGCGGTTTTTGTTTACAGAAGAGGATTAAGGTTTAAACTTTAATTTTACAATTAAATCATGTTATTTTTTGGTTTGGGTATATAAATGATAAATCATATATATAAAAGTAAGGTTCCACTCTCTCCTTATTGGTAGAAAAACATTTAAGCCATTCATTTTACAAAAAACATATATATATATATAAGTAAATGTTTATGGCAATCATTCAATACAAAATTTAATTACACCATAAGTTATAAACAAATAGCAAAGAAAATGAAATGAGTTAATTATATATCTATATATATAAAGTTAACTTTGCTCTCTTCTCCTTAAGCCACCTCATCATCCTAATCATCATCCACATCATTTTATTATTTAATTTTAATAATTTATTTATATCATTTTATTCTTTAATCGAAATATTTATACACATGTAAACAAGTTTTTCCAAAAGAAATATGAAAAGTCCTTTCAAACATCATCCACATCATTTTACTATTTAATTTTTATAAGTTATTTATACCATTTTATCATTTAAGTTAAAGATTTATACACATGTAAACAAGTTTTTTCAAAAAAAAAAAAAAGTCCTTTCAGATAATAATTATAATCAAATAAATATGTTAAATTAGTATAAAGTAGATTATACTAATATGTATGTTAGATAACAATAACAAATAACAAATATAACAAAAAAAATAACAAATAAAAATAACAAACAAAAACATAACAAACCAAAATAAATAGATAATAAACAAGAGATCGCCAAATCAATAAATAAAAAAAACAACAATCCGCGCAAAATCCACAAATCATTCTCAACTTTTGGACCATCATATTAAAAAGACCCACAATATTAACATCATCTAGATCTATATTTGGTGGGAGCCTTAATAATACATTTTTTCTACAACTCTCCATAACATTTCTGTTTATGCTTACACATCGATTTATACTATAGACACTTAATTTCTAAACTACTATCGAAACTAAAATAAAATAGATTTTCCATACAAACACAACATGAGATAGAAAATAAAAATATGTTGTAGTGGAGAAAATAAATACGAAATAAAACATGAATCAATTACTCATAAACAAAGTAATAAAATTCCCGCGCGTAGCGCGAGCAACTGACTAGTATATATATATATACAATATATATATATATGTAAGGTTTCACTCTCTCTTTATTGCTCCATTTGATATTTTTTATTTATTTAAATATAATATTTATTTACCAAAAACACATTTAATCCTATACATTAATCCATACTTTAAATCTATACTTTACTACTAAAATGTAACTGAAAATTATGTAAATTTTCAAAGACTATTGGTTTTCGTTATTGAATTTCAATAAAACACACTATAAATTATATTTATGACTCCTCTAATTTAAGTAATTTAAAAATGTAACTTACATCACTTCTTATCCTATAAATAGTCATTCTCACATCATCCTCTACCATATCTCATATCTTCATTATTTTCTTTGTTTTTTTAAAAACGTTTTTGCATGGGGTGAAAACTCAATTAAGATGTCATTGTAAGAGTTTGATTAAATATTTGGTTTAAACTTTTATTTTCAATTTAATTTATTTTTTGTTTATATGTATTTTTCATTTCTTCATTGTTTTTCTTTTAACATTTTTAAATGTAATACATATGTATAATAATATTTTATGGTTATAAGAAAATTACTGTATTGATGGGATTCAAAAATATTGAATTCCGACCCCTAAGAAAATCAAGCTAAAGAAATAATATTCATTCTATTACGTTGGATGTTTGTTTCTTTCTCACATATTCATGTATATTTACTTTAATTTCAAAAGTATGTAATCTTTTAACAAAAGAAATTTTTGTTATATAATTATCATACCAATTTGTAAGACATTATTTTAAGAATAATGATCCTTATATTTAGTTTGTGATTCAACATTTAATAATATAAAGAATATTATAATTTTTGTTAACTTTGAACTTTATACTTGATTTCATATCTAAAAAACAATTTGATATTCAATTTTCTATCTATTCTATATACTAAAAGGATGAAAAAAATATAATTAAACCTAGAGATATAACTTAAATTAAGAGGAATATAAAAAGAGTTTAAAAAATAAAATTATTCTTTGGGAATTTGTAAGGTTTCACTCTCTCATTATTGGTCCATTTAGCATTTATTTTTTAATTATAATATTTATTTTTAATTAAACCAAATATCTAACACATTTAATCATATACTTTAATTCATACTTGAAATCAACACTTTACTACTAAATTATATAACTTGTGAATTGACTATTGGTTTCCTCCATTCAATTTCAATTAACACACTATAAATTATAATTATAACTCCTCTAATTTAATTATTTAAGAAATATAAATTACATCATATTTTATCCTATAAATACACATTCTTACATCCTCCTCCACCATATTTGATACCCTCAGGATTTTTATTTTATTTTTTAATATTCTTGCATGGGTTGAAAGCTCAATTAAGATATCATTGTAAGAGCTCGATTATATATTTGGTTTAAAATTTTGTTTAAATTTTGTTTTCAATTCTATTTTTTCTTTGTTTTATGTTTTCATTCATTTCTTCATTGTTTTCTTATACTATTAAATGTATAATACAAATTGATAATAATTTTTGAGAATTTTTGAGAAATACCCCTTTTGGTTTACCCGTTTTTTAAAATACCCCTCTTTTCTATCCATTATTAAAAATACCCCTATTCAAATATGAAAAATTATAAACTTTTATATGGTTAATAAGGTACATCAAGATCATCATTACTACTGGGTGACTAAATCTAAAAACTTATAAGGTTTTAAAAGGTTATAAACGGCATTTATAAGGTTTTTATAAGGTTTTTAAAAGGTTTACAAAGTTTTTATAAGATTTTTAAATAATTTTTAAATGGTATTTATACGGTATTTATGAAATATATATGTAAATTTACACACATATAAAGATAATGTTTCTATAAATAATAGCTTACAAATAATGTTTTGATAAATTCCAAAATTTATAGTGACATTTTGATAAAATTAGAAAAGGGGTATTTTTAAAAAAGGGTATTTTTAAAAAGAGGTATTTTTGAAATTCCCCCAAAAGTTTTTATGGATATAAAAAAATTACTTTATCGACGGGATTCAAAAATATTGATTTTTCTACCATCACACTATAAGAAAATCAAGTAAAAAAAACCATCTTCATTCTTTTACTTTAGATGTTTGTTTATTTCTCACATATTCATGTATATTTATTTTATTTTAAAAAGTATGTAACTATTGTAACAAAATCTTTTTTTATATAATTATCAAACAAATTTGTAAGACATTGAAATAAATAATTTTTATACACAAACAAAGGTAATGTGTATGTATATTTATAAGCTTACACACATATTTGAATAAATTTCAGCATTTTTAGTGATTCTTTTATAAAGTTTGAACAAGGGATAAATTTAAAAAGTGGTATTTGAAAATGGGTATTTTTAAAATTCTCTGAATATCATTTCTATTGTTATCATTAACAATATTATTATTTTTTCAAAAAATACTCAAACGTACTAAAGAAAATCTATACTATTAATTGGGAAGAACAACTTGAAGCCAAACACCCCCAGTTTTGAACAAGAAATTTCATGAAATATATTCCAGTTGCCAAACAGAATTAATGACAGCAAAAAAAAAACAAAAACAAAAACTATCTATATTTATGTAAATCATAATAATCTTTTACCATAAAAAGTGGACAATTAAATTCAAATTAAATATATGTAAACATATCTATTTTGAATATACATAAACATATTTAATATTTTAATATACTTTCGAAATTAGTAATTTATATAGAATGAAATCTAATAAAACAAAATCATCATATATCTAAAAAAACAAAGATAACATTTTTTTTTAGAAAAATCAAAAGATAAAAAAATATGTTAGCATATGAAATAATCAACTAAT